TTCACAATTTTATAATAATATTTTTATATTCATACACTTTTTTGTAATACACCTTCCTCATAAAACATAAGATTACATTCTCATATGTGCATTTTACCTTTCCATATGTGTGAATTACGTTTATACACAATTCCTGAAGTTATCTTTGATAGTACATGGAGTTACATTTTCATATGCTCGAGTTACATTGGGATTTGGCTCTTCAAGTTACTTTTTGCTTGCTCACAATTTACATTTTTTATTAATGCAAGTTACACTTGTCATTGTGATGACAAAATAAATCCCTGCTATTAGAACAAAAAAATCATTGTTCGTGCGTGTTTTAGATGCAAAAGTATGTTTTTAAATCATGGGATAATTTGAGTTTGCACCCCATTTTATTGACCCAAATTGGACTTTGCACCCCGTTTTTAAAAATCATTGTTTTTGCACCCCAACCCCATGTGAAAAGACAAAAATGCTCTTTCATTAATATTCTGTTGGCCTTCAACATATTCCTGATCGAGGGCATTTTTGTCTTTTCATATGGGGTTGGGGTGCAAAAACAAAGATTTTTAAAAACGGGGTACAAATTCCAATTTGGAGAATAATATGGGGTGCAAACTCAAATCACCCCTTGAGTCATTTTTATATCCCTTATATTAAAAACAAAACAATTCACTATTTAGGTAAAGTAATCGGACAGTTACACTCGTTTTTTCATCGAAATTAATGTTTTATTTCTTATACTCCGTATTAGATAACTTACATTTTGATTTGTCTCAAGTTACATTTTTGTCAACGTGAGTTACATTTCTTTAAACGCGAATTGCATCACTCTACTACTGAAAAAAGACACCGTTCACGATCGTTTTATGTGAGGATTGGGGACTAGTATCATGTGGACCTTTGTTAGTTTATTCGCGTATAATTAACCCAAACGAATAATTCACGTATTATATTCCTGTTTATGATTTTTTCCAAAAAATCATTAAAAGTCATGTACTTCAAGGATAACATGTATAATACACGCACCGTATGTATCCATACGTATTTCTTTCAAACAAAATCACACCATTAAACTAAAGCTTAACAGAGTGACACAACTGAAGCAAAATGTCTAGCTATCCATTCTATGTTTTTTTTAAAGGTGCCAATTCTCTTTACAATGCATAAAAATTAGTATGCATTAAATGTTAGTTAATTATTTAATACGGAGTAGTCATTATATTTAATAAATTAGTTTTTTCAAATCATAATTCATTGAGATATTATTATTGTATTATTCTTGTATTTTACTCGTACCATTACTCCAGTGAGAAAAGAGTATATGTGGCACCACATCGAACTCACGGACACAGTAATATCAACTATAGTCTAGTAATATCTTTCTACTTCTTCTCAAATAGACGATGTAATTTTTATTTATGAATTCATCGATTTTCTTAGTCTATATTAGGTATTCTAAAAATGAAAGGTTCAACTTTCATTCTTATTAGTTTTTATAACATACAGTATACCCTCTTTTGTCTAGCTAAACTTTGTTAATTTACTAAATTCAGAAATTTACTTTATTTCTTTTTTATTATCAATTTTACTATTTCAGCTATATGATAGGAGTTTAGCATCGATTTAATTCGGATTTTATATTATGTTTTAATATAAAATTAGCGAGTGTTTAAAGTTTGAAGGTATGGTGAGAACTACTTTGACAAGTCTTGCTGAAAGGTAATATTTTCATCCTTGTGTGAGATTTGATTACTTTAAAGATTTATTCAAATTAGTGAGTGTTTAAAGTTTGAAGGTATGGTGAGAACTACTTTGACAAGTCTTGTTGAAAGGTAATGATAGAGTATAACCTCTTAGAGAGAAGTGATTTATATTAACGATTTTCGAACCCTTTACATGGCTCCCAAAGGGAGTATTTATAGGGAAAAGTGGGATGGGCTCCCAAGTCTTGGGCTTGGGAGGCCCGTTTACAATGGGGCCTCTATTGGGCTGAATACAAAATGCGGCTCTGTGTGCTCTATGTGGCCGACGGAGCCATGGTCGACGGAGACGCGGCCGAGGGAGGCACCCCGGTTCTTCAGGCCTCCAGACCGTATTCTGAGTTGATGTCTATCCGGTCGATGGAGGGCCATCTGGCCGAGGGAGGCACGGCCGAGGGAGGCACAGCTGAGGGAGGATAAGTCTTCTCCTTGGCTTCTGGAGTGTATTCTGGATTGACCCTTCTTTGGCCAATGGGGTGCCATCTGGCCGACAGAGGGCCTACTGGGTGACAGTTGTGCTCCTTTTAGTCTTCTGAGTATGTGGGTCATGTGGTCTGGACCCATATACTCCATCAGGTAATATTTTCATCCTTGTGTAGTACTCACTTGTGCATAATTGATTTAATTTAATTAAACAAGACCTAATTTTGTTTATGTGATTTAAGAGTTGTTTGTCTGTGTGTTTGTGTGTTGTGAGATGTCTGTCACACGTTTTGAATTGTCTGTAAGGAGTTCACACATGAGTGTGATGTTTTAAATAGATGTTTGTCATTTCATGTTTCCATGTCTGTCATATGTTTCAAGTTGTCTGTCAATTGTTATGAGTTGTCTGTCATTTGTTTTGAGTTGTCTGTCATTTGTTGTGATGTTATAGATACATGTTTCTTGTTGTTTCCCCCTTTTTCCCTAATGTATACAAGTGCCCCTCGGGTTTTCTTGTAATAATACTGATGGAATATATGGACTCCGACCCCCCGGTCTGCCGACTACTGGGCCTGGACAACGGCCCACACACGTTTAGCAGATATCATTCATATTATTGTACATTATTATTGTTATTCAGATGTTCTAGATTAGCTTTTTATACTATCAGTCCATTTATGTAATCGGGTCTGTCAGGCCCATATTAGAGGCCCAGACCCGGGTTTTCCCTATATATACTCCTTTAGGAGGCTACACACAATTGATATCCATACACAATACTACTTCTTCTCCTTCTTTCCTGTTCAATCTCTCCTTTTCATACAATATGGGTATCAATTATCCAACAATGGTGCTCTCGTTGAGAGGTTTGAACACAATCAAGTGAGAAAACCTCCCCGCTTAACCAAAAAAATCCATCCAAAAACAATCTGGAATTTCAAAACAAAATGGAATTGTTCAGAAGCAGTTCCGGTCAGATCAGAACTGACTGGTCAACGGAGCAGCAAATGAGCAACCAGGTCCGGCCGGCGACTGCATCTCAATCTTTCTCCGGTGTGACACCACCTCCTGAAATCCGCTGGAGCTCGCGACCGACGAGTTAGTCCGGACCAACGATGGATTCCAACTTGGGGCCGAAGCTATACTCGAGCTTCATCAAGCTCCTACGTAGTTGCGACGAAGGCGTCCTGTATTCGAGTAAAGAAGAGAATCCAGTCAGGAATGTTCTAAACAAAAAATCCAAAATCAGGAGAGGAAATAATGAAATTTAGAAGTTCATGGTCGAGGTTCAGCAGCTCTAGGACGTCATCTTTATCACCTTCGCAGCTGAGAACCAGAGAACCCAGACGCTCCAAGATCTCAGCCGCTGAGTCGAAGGTCCTCCGTGGGTGGGTGATGTTGGCTGGGGCTCGCCGCCTCTGTCCCGCTGCCTACCGCCTCACTCCACCATGATGTCACGGCTTCCATCTCCGATTTTACATATCTAAACCTCTTTCCGCCATTAATGGCCGATTTTACATATCCAAACCTCTTGGCCAACCGTGTTTCCCTACCGTCCTGCTGCTCCAGCGCACGACGCCGGTTCATCGCCTGCTCCACCGCCGAAATCTAGTACCGGCTGCAAATCTCCAAGAACGTATGAACACTAGACTGGACTTGATAGGAGACAGTAGCTTATCGTTACTGTTATTGGTCGTAAGACAAAATATCCAGCCAAGCTGATGGGAACCCGCTGCAGTCCTCCTCTGTGATTCATCAGATGCCTCATTCATTGTGCAGCAGAAGAGGATGGCCAGATTGATTGGCGTGTGGTTTCCATTTGACCCGATCAATTATTAAAACAGCTGCCCTAGTCCATGGCAATGTTAGTAGCACCGTGGCAAGCGAGTGAAGTAAAAATGAACATGGGTCAGGCAGCACTAGATTGCCATTAATATGGTGTCGGTTTTTCACTCATTAAATTGGGCCCAAGGAGTTATGTTGGATACTATTCATTCCGGTCAGCCCACAATTCCAGCCCATCAAAAGCTAAGTGCTTCTCTTCAATTTTTATATTATTTATATTTATTTAAATCAATATTTTTGTTGTCGGTTAAATGTCACATTATCACGCAATTATGATCAAATACCTAGTAGAGTGTGGCTTGAGACCCATCACTAGGATTTAAAGCCCTGACCAAGATCAGGCACAAAGCCCCGACCAAGTCGGGCATGAAGACAAAGCCCTGACTCCTCAGGCACAAAGACCAGTCTTAGTCATTCCAAGAGTGGCGACCGTTGCATACGAATGGCTCACACCTCCACTCTACTAAGTTTTTTATCATTACATCAACAATTCACATTTCCACTTTTTCAAGTGACGAACTCTCGATCGGAAACATAAACCCCAAGAAAAAAAATTATATGCATGCTAAATGTGTAGGTACGAAGATGACTTTACTCATTTTCACCTCGACTCCACTCGCCTCAAGGAGCGGGGGACTGGGGGACTGAGGGTCAGAATTTCTAGATGAGCAGCAAATATCACGCATGAGCAGGAACAAGAGCTAAGTCAGATGAAGACGGGTTGAGCTAGACAAAAGTGATTATGTCAGAGGGGGCCTACCTTCCTTGTTTCATGTTGGGGGCGCTAGGTGTACTCTTTTTCCCTTTATTAGGATTTTTCCCACTGGGTTTTTTCCTAGTAAAGGTTTTTAACGAGGCACCTCTCCATCATGGACAAGGGTGGTGGTCCCCGGCTGAAGAGGAAGAAACCAAAGGCAAAAGAACGTTGCGGATACAATTGTGAACTACTCCCTTTCGCCTCGAGTACTCTCGACTCAGGGAGTGGGGGACTTTATCATTTCTTGTAATAATACTTTGAAAAATTATTTAGAGATAAAGCAGTTGTAATAAAGGTTTTATTAGAGACTGAAATTATCATTTCGTAAAGGTTACATAAGAGATTTAGAAAAGTAGAAATGTAACCCCCTATGAGTTTGGAAGAACATACTAAGATTCAACACAACCCACCCGCTCCCATCTCCCAAAAGTTTGTAAAATTGCAAAATGGGTTCAATACAAGACAAATGGAACATGTACGTATATAAGCATATCCTTGTCTGTCATTTATTTTGAGTTGTCTCTAACTGTTTGGAGTTGTCTATATGGACTTTATAAATGTCTGTGATGTTATAAATAGATGTCTGTCATTCATATTTCCTTGTTTGTCTGTCATTTGTTTTGAATTGTCTGTAAGGAGTTCATAAATGTGTGTGATGCTATAAATAGATGTCTTTCATTCATATTTCCTTGTCTGTCATTTGTTTTGAATTGTCTGTAAGGACTTTATACATGTCTGTGATGTTATACATAGATTTCTGTCATTCATATTGACTTGTCTGTCTAATGTGTTGTGCATTTTTAAACATGTGATAGGGCGTTGAAATTAAAAATTCCTGTCTGCGACCACTTCCATGCGCAATACTCTCTATGCTCTGAATTGAAAGACGCTGCAACGTTGGTGAAGTCAGCTTTGTCTGTTAAGCAGATTGCTCAGTTTAGGAAGATGCCATGGGGCCATTCTCTTGATGTGCAAGACCTTTGGTTTTCTGCTCAAATTGTGCATAGCTTGTTGTTAAGGCTGGTGTGTGAGCAGCCCGAAGACGAACTGTGGTTTTGCATTAACGAGCAATTGCTGAAGTTTACCTATGCCGACTTTGAACGCATCACTGGGCTCCATTCTAGGGGTCCAACTCCAGCCTTCTCGGATGATGATGAAGGCAATGTGATGTTGCTAGATGTCTACTTTGGTGGTGCCGCAGAGATCAATTTCAGAACGTTGACGGAAAAGATGAGGTCAATTAAGCCAAAAAGAAAGGTGAGCACGGTGATGCTTTGAAGCTTGCTTGTGCTTTTTATGTGCTGTGTGTTTTACTATCAAGGAACAAGAAAACAAACATCAATTCACAGTATCTGAAACTGGCTGATGAATGGGACAAATTTCAAACTTACCCTTGGGCAAAAGAGTCCTACACCTTGATGGTTTCTCACATCAAGACCCTTATGGTTGGGCAAGCCGAGAAGTTCAAGCAGAGTAAGGCCGCCAATCTCGAATAGAAAAACGCAAAGTTCACATTGCACGGGCTTCCTCACATCCTACAGGTGATGTAGGCATTATATTTCATTGTGTGTTTTGTATTGTCATGTTTGCATGAAACACATAGTTGTCTGTACGCCATACATGTAATATGAAAGACAAACAAATACTAATTTATCACGCATACAATATTATTCTTCCACACAGACACTTCATCCTTTCATACAGACAATTTCTTAGTGTAGACAGACCACTTATTCTGCCACTCATTGTTTTTGCTTACTTGTCTTTTTTGTTTTTCAGGTTTGGGCTTACGAGACTTTGCCTGAGCTAGGACATAGATGTGCTGAACGCGTTGCTAATCATCAAGTCCTCTTTCTCAACTGGAAGGCCACGGGGTTCTTTCATTTGCATAAGCTAAATGAACTAATTTTCAGGAGATAAATTCCTGAAAAAGCAAGAGTGGGCATCTTTTGAAAGGGTATTGTCTGTCTAAGTCTTATAATTGTCTGTCTGGTATTGTTTTACTAATTTTGTGTCTGTGTACACACAACACCTACACTTTGAGATTAATTGTTAATATTGGCAGGTTTTGATTCCTTTAAATGCTGAGAATAAGCATTGGGTGTTGGCGGAAGTTCTGTTTCGATGTAGATTGGTTAGAGTTTACGACTCTATGAAGACTTCTAGGACTCCATATTATGCCAATGAGTTGTGTGTGCGGCTGCCTTACCTAGTTCGTGCAATGGGATTGTGTCTGGATGACACTGATTTGCAACCATGGAAAGCCGAAGCAGTGGATGTTGTGCCTCAACAAAATGCAGGGTATTAAACTCAATAATTATGTGCATTACATGTATTGTCTGTCTAAGTCGTATAATTGTCTGTCCGGTTTTTTTTTGTCTCTCTACAGATCAGGTGAATGTGGGGTCATGGTCCTAGCTTTTGTAGAACAGATACTCTTAGGAAATTCATTGGTTCCTGATTGCGACTATGGCAACATGCACAACAAAAGATGCGACTATGGTATTCGTCTTTGGCGGTTGAAGAAGGAAGAAGCTTAGAGTGTTGTACAATACTTGTCCCATTATAAGTTGTGGTTCAAACTTAGGGAAATCTGTCGAAGATTGTACAATGATAGATGTTCAATGTTGTACAATGTTCAACAATTGACTAGGGTATTTTGAACGTGTATGGCTTTTTGTAAACATTACATTCACAATTAACCTATTATTAATGTAGACTTTTTGTTTGTCTGTGAATATATAGTTCGAAGTAAACTACATACGTCTGTGAACATTACACATACTGTCTGTCTGGTTATGTGTATTGTCTGTGTACGTATATTTAATTGTGTTTTTTGTTAGAAGTAAACTAACATTGATAATTCATAATAAAACATATGTTCACTTTACAAAATATAGTTGTGAAATTCTGAATATTTGTGATGATTTATTATCTCAGAATCGCAGGATATTTATACAACCTATTGGGGAGAGAATCTAAGACATTAACTATACAATCTCTGCTAATTTAGACAATAGAATATCCTATTTCTAGAAAGAATAAAATACAGGAGATCTGGTATTAATACCAAATCAGATCAAAATTCAACAGTAAATATTCTCTAAATTGGGAAATAAATCCACACTCCCCCTCAAGCTGGGTTGTGAATGTCAAACATCCCAAGCTTGCCGATTAATTCTTCAAAAACAGTTCTTGGTAGAGCTTTTGTAAGAATGTCAACAGTTTGAAATTTTGATGGGATATAACATGCTTGAATGATGGACTTATCTATCTTCTCAGTAATGAAGCGTCTATCTATGTCAATATGCTTAGTTTTGTCGTGATGAACTGGATTTTTGGCAATGCTAATAGCAGCCTGATTGCCACAAAGCATTTGTATAGGCCCTTCTTTAAATAACCCCAACTCCCCAAGTAATCTTTTCAGCCACATCCCTTCACATATGCCAAAAGCTAACGCTATGAATTCTGCTTCAGCTGAACTTCTGGAAACAACTGACTTTTTCTTACTTCTCCATGTTACCAAATTACCCCAAACATAAGAACATTAACCAGAAGTACTCCTTCTATTAGTTACATCTCCTGCCCAATCTGCGTCTGTGTAGACTCTGATTTCTTTATTGTCATTCTTCCTAAAAAGAAGACCTTTTCCTGGAGTCATTTTGAGGTATCTAAGGATTCGTGTAACAGCTTCCATGTGTTCCTCGATTGGATTAGTCATGTATTGGCTCACACACTTACAGGGAAACCAATGTCAGGTCTAGTATGGGATAGATAAATAAGCCGTCCAACTAGCCTTTGATATCTCCCCCTATCCACAGGTGCTCTGCCTGTCTCTGAGCCAATCTTTCTGTTAGAATCCATTGGAGTTGAGGCTGGTTTACACCCAAGCATTCCTATTTCCTTGAGTAAGTCTAGAACATGCCTTCTTTGAGAAACAAAAATGCCACGCCTTGATCATGCAATTTCCACACCTAGGAAATATCTAAGATAACCGAGACCTTTAATCTCAAATTCCCTTGATAAAAACTTTTCAAGTTTTCCAGCTCTTCCTTGAAATCACCTGTAAGTATTATATCATCAACATAAACTATCAGGACAGCTATCCTTTTATCTTGTGTGTTTCACAAACAACGTGTGATCTGCCTGACACTGAATATAACCATTTTTAATGACTGATTTAGTAAACTTTCCAAACCATGCTCGTGGAGATTGCTTAAGGCCGTATAGAGATTTCTTTAGTCTGCATACTTTATTTCTGTTGGATGAACACTCAAAACCGGGTGGAATATCCATGTACACCTCTTCTTCCAGGTCACCATTCAAGAAAGCGTTCTTCACATCTAGTTGGTGCAACGGCCAGTCTCTATTTGCAGCAACGGAAAATAGAACACGAATGGTATTAAGTTTAGCAACCGGAGCAAAAGTCTCTTGATAATCAATCCCGTAAGACTGAGTGAACCCCTTAGCAACAAGGCGAGCTTTATACCTCTCAATGCTACCATTTGCCTTATGTTTAATAGTGAATACCCACTTGCATCCCACTAGTCTCTTTCCAGATGGTAAATCTGTTATGTGCCAAGTTCCATTCTTCACCAAAGCATTGATTTCATCTTGTACAACTTTTTTCCAACTCAGATCAATCAGTGCTTCTTGAATTGTGTGAGGAATCTGTACACTATCAAGAGCTGAAACAAATGCTTGATAGGACGGAGATAATGTTTTATAGGACACAAAATTGTCAATGGGATGTTTAGTGCAAGTACGAACTCCCTTTCTCAAAGCAATAGGCAGATCATCATTTATATCAGTAACACTATCATGACTAGGATTACTCATACCTGAATGTATTTCTGGAGGATGTGAATCCAGTTCCAATTCATGGCAGTCCTGTAGATGTGTCTGTTCTTTCTCAGGGTGCTTTCTTCTTTGATAAACACGAAGTTCTTTAGGTTCAGGGTGAGAATTAACGACGGGTAATGGTTCAGACATGTTTTCAGTGACTTGAGATGAGCTAGATGGATTAAATGGAACTTGATTTTCTATGACATCTTGACGTTTTTGGACTGAGTTCATAGGTTGTGGACTGGTGAGTTTAAGAGAAGGTGCAATAGGTGAGATTTCCCGTATAGGAGTATGACTGTTTGGAACGGTTATTCCCCAAAGGTGAGATTCATTTGCATTCTCCCTCTGAATCTCAGATTTGTAGTAAGCTTGTGATTCGAAAAAGGTGACATCCATGGAGTTATAGGTTTTTCGTGTAGTAGGACAGTAACACTTATAACCCTTTTGATTAGATGAATAACATATGAAGATGCATTTGATAGATTTAGGATCTAACTTACTACGATGTTGTGAATGAAGATGGACAAAAACGGTGCAACCAAAGACTTTAGGATCAACAAAGCTAATGAAGCTTGTATGAGGGAATATTTCCAGAAGAGTTTGACACAGAGTTTGAAATTTCAGCACTTTAGATGGCATCCGATTAATGAGATAGGTAGCGGTGAGAACTGCATCCCCCAAAAAACTTTAGGAACGTGAGTCCGAGAAATTTCAAGAAGATGTCGATTTTTTTGTTCAACGATTCCGTTTTGTTGAGGGATGTCAACACAAGAACTTAAATGGATGATGCCATGTTCTACCAAATAGGTACCAAGAATAGAATTAATAAATTCTTTGGCATTGTCAGTTTTGAGTACTTGAATCGTAGTGTGAAACTGAGTTTGAATCATAGAATGGAAGCGCTGAAAAATTTCACTCACTTCTGACTTATTTTGCATAAGAAAAACCCAATTTAATCTTGTATGATCATCTATAAAAGATACATACCATCTCTTTCATGTTATAGTGTTTATGCGTGAAGGTCCCCACACATCACTACGAATCATTGAAAACGGTTTGGATGGTTTATATGTTAATCTAGAATAACTAGTCCGAGTGTGTTTAGCAAACTGACAAGTCTCACAACAAAAAGAACTTGGATTTTTAATCAAGAATAGAGAAGGAAACAATTTTGACAAATACACAAAATTTGGATGACCAAGACGATAGTGCCATAACATGATATCACTATCTTTATTAGACAAAGAAACTGACTGACTATTCAAAGAAAGAAAACTGGATTTTTGGTTTATGCTAGTGGATGAGACTTCATCACGTAGAACATACAATCCGGAACACATCTTAGCATTACCAATCCTCTTCCCCGAGTTCAAATCCCGAAATACACAAAGATTTGAGAAAAATTTTGTCACACAATGATGTTCACTGGTAAATTAACTGATTGAAAGTAAATTACAGTCTAATTTAGGCACATAAAGCACAGATTTGAGAGTTAGGTCCTTTGTTATTCTGACTCAACCCGAACCCTCAACTTGAGAAAGTGAGCCATCTGCAATTTTGACCGTATGATTTCCTTTGTTCGGATGAAACTCAGAAAAAATAGATGCATCTCCGGTCATGTGATCTGAAGCTCCGGAGTCTAGAATCCAAGATTTGTTAGTGAATCTATTGACAAAACAAGCAACTGATTTATTACCTCCCATAGCCAGCATTCCAGTATCCTGCGCAGATGCCGGTTGAGTGGAGTATTGATTCAGAAGTTCCTGAAGAACCTCTAGTTGAGCTTTAGTGAATGGAGCTGATTCAGGCACATCATTTAACTCTCTGACAGCTGAATTTGACGTGGCAGCCACATTCCTGTGACTGAAACGATCACCCCCGCCTTTGGTTTCCAATTTTGAGGCTTCCCGTGAAGTTTCCAGTATGTTTCTTTGTAGTGTCCAGGTTTTCGGCAGTGGTCACACCAATGGCGGCTTCCCTTATTTTGACGATTATCAAGATTTGCTCCCTGAGTCTGAGTCTGTCCACGGGCAGCAAGGGCAGAAGATTCCAGATCTGGAGATAGAATTGAGGAGCCCATTATAACCTTTTTTCCTACTTTCTTCACGACGGACTTCAGAAAATGCTTCTTTTACCTTAGGTAGGGGCTTGGTACTCATGATTCGACTTCGAACAACATCCAGAATTCTATTGAGGCCATGAAGAAATTTGAAAGTTCTCTTTTTCTCCACAATGGAACGATACAATGTTGTATCGTGAGCACACTTCCAAGCATATTCTTCAAATAGATCCAATTGTTGCCAATAGCGAGTGAGAGTGTTAAAGTATTGAGTGACAGAGGTAGCACCTTGATGGAGATCATGCAAGACTGCCTCAATAGAAAAAAGCTCAGAAGTATTCTCCTAACTTGAATAGGATTCTTTGACAGCATCCCATAATTCTTTTGTCGTAGCTTATAATAGAAAGTTTTCCCCTATATCATTATTCATAGAACATATGAGCCATGACTTAATCATATGATTATCAGACTTCCAAGTTTTGAAGAGAGGATCATCTTTCTCTGGAACTGATGTTTCACCAGTAAGATACTCTTCCTTTCCTTTTCCACCAATGTACATCATCACTGATTGAGACCATTGGAGATAGTTGTGTCCATTGAATTTGTGGCTGGTAACGAGAGAGACAACTTCATTTATTTGAGGAGAGACAGAAAGAATGGATGAGGGTGTTTTAGAGGCTGCCCCTGAGATGGAGTTGTTGTTTTCGTGAGCCATGATAGACAAGAGATGGGCACAATCAGAAAAGAAGTACAGAAACCCTAGGAAAACTAGAGCTCTGATACCATGTGAAATTCTAAATATTTGTGATGATTTATTATCTCAGAATCGCATGA